ACTCCTAAATTCTATGATTCTGTGATTTTCTAATTTGTTAATCAAATACAGCAGAGAATGTGGAATGTTGGATGCTAACAGCCACCTGCATTTTACAGCCGCTATCCTGACAATGGTGGTGTCATCAACTTTGCCTCCTGGTTCTCCTTTGCCTTCCCCACCATGCTCGTGTTACTGGTTTTGGCATGGATTTGGCTGCAGATCCTGTACTTGGGCTTTAAGTGAGTACCCTTCACCCTCTGCAATCCAACTGACAGGCCTGTGGTCAAGGGCTCATGGCACAGAGTGATCCTTTTGTCGATGGGGAAAGTCACACAGCAAGTCACAAATGCCTCACATACACCAGAGAGGAGCAGAACAGCTCACACAGTGTCTGTTAAAATACTACAACCTTTTCTCTGAGGAATCTGATCCAATCCAGTTAAATATACTCTGCAGATGAAAATAGGAAGTTCTAACAGCACATGACCTGTTCTGTGGCACTGCTGTCCTGTCCTAAGAGATTGCTGTGCTTCAGAGCAGGAAATTGATTTCTCCATGGAGCTGGTAAATGCCTTTGTAAGGAGAGTTGCTATAGACCTAGAGGATTAGCATTGTGCTAGTTCCAATGCTCATCACTCCACGCAACCAGCTTGCATCATCTACCTATTTAATACTTAGCCTAGCATGTTTCTATTACCCCAGTCATCCTTATTTTATGTGGATAGTGCTGTAATACCTGAAATGGTCCTTTCATCTTCAAATTCCTCCTTTAAAATTCTCATTTTCTGTCATTTAAAAAAGCTTGGCAACTCTTCACTTCCTAGTGATCACACTAACCTTATCCTGATCTAGTGGAAGGGGTCCCTGCCCATGGCAGAGGTGTAGAATGAGATGGTCTTGAAGATCTCTTCCAATGCAAACCATTCTGTGATTCTAACTTTTTTTTTTTCTCCCACGTGTCCAGATAACACACTTTTTTTATATTTAAAACATGAGCTTTTCAGGGCAGGAAATTTCTTCCTGATTGTGTTGGCAAGACACAGTACAAAGCAGTTCCTATCCACCATGGCTGCTGATGCTATGATTATCATATGTGTCATTTCAGTATTCATACATAAAGACATACATCTAAAAGACATTATAACTGAGTATAAAATTTGGGTTATTAATTCTGAGGATATCTGGCAAATTTCACTGATATTTCCTGTTCATTTTCTTCTAGTTTTAAGCAGAATTTTGGTTGTGCTGCAAATCCCTCTGCAAAGGCTAAGGAGCAAAGGGCCTATGCCATCATCAAGGAAGAGAGCAAGAAATTGGGCAAAATGAAGTTTGCAGAAATAGCAGTTTTGATCCTCTTCATACTCCTGATACTGCTCTGGTTTACAAGAGAACCTGGGTTCATACCAGGCTGGGCAACAGTTCTCTTCAACCAAAATGGTGAAAGGTACTGGCAATTCTCCTCCTCACTTTGGCTAGAAATGAAGTAGGTTAGATTTGATAGAAATGAAAAGACAGCTGACTAAATATCTGACTGATCTCTTGCAGCTACGTCACTGATGCTACAGTTGCCATCTTCATTTCAGTTTTGTTGTTCATCATCCCTTCTGACTTTTCCAGCAGAGAAGAACAACACACAGGTGAGTTACTGAAGCATCAAAAATTAACTGTCAGAACAGGTTGTTGGGAAGGGAAGGTTTACAAAGAAAATTTCAAATATTAAATGAGGTTTCAAAATTGCTCTTCTTGCAGAGCTACAGCTGTATGCTTTAGGCTAGGCAAGGCAAACAGCCCCGAAAAGTTCTCTGTTTCTCACAGAATCATAGAATTTTAGGGGTTGGAGTGGACCTTAGAGATCATCCAGACCCAATGTCCTGCCCTGGGCAGAGACACCTCCAACCAGAACAGGTTGCTCAAGGCTTCATCCAACCTGGAATGAACTCTGCCAGGGATGGGGCATCTACTACCTCCCTGGGCAACCTGTGCCAGTGTCACAATTTAACTAAGTAGGAAGCTCTTCTCCCAGCAGTGTTCCTGACACTAGTACATACACATGTAAAAGCTTCCAAGGCTGGAGCCTTCAGGAGAGAATGTATGACTTAACAGAAACACACACAGCTCTACAGATAAGTTGCCACACTCTTAACTCACCCTTACCCACATTCTACTGTGCTTCTTGGAGCAGCTGCAGGTCATTCATTAGTGTTTTTGCAAGTCAAGTTTTAAACCTTTTGTTGATGAGGCTCTCAGCATTTGCTTCAGGAGATAATTCCAGAGTCTACTTGATCTTGCTGACAAAGGGTTTGCTGATGTTCAGACTAATCTCACCTCCCATCAAGAAGTTCTCCTGTCTTTGGAGAATATGTCACATGGCTTTAAAAAAAAAAACTTTCTGGATTTCAGGAGGCAAGTCAAAGTTCCGAGCACCTCCTCCTCTCTTGGACTGGAAAGTAGTTCACCAGAAAATGCCGTGGAACATTGTGTTTCTGCTGGGAGGTGGCTTTGCCTTAGCCAAAGGCAGTGAGGTAACATTCCTCGGCTTACCTGGGATTTATGTCTTCCTGGGCGTTTTCCATCTGGCTTTTCATGCTGTCCCAGGACACAAGAGGGCACACTGGGAGCATCAAACTCGCCTTTCCTCAGCTGCTGGCAGTGGGAGAGACCTCACTGTCCTGTGATTAGAACAAATCCTTGTTGTTACCTGTGCCATGGGATGGTGCTACCAATCAGGGCAGCGTGATTAACTATGTTTGTAGATAAGTGGATGACTAAGAAACTGCCCCATTAAAGGTTCTTTCAAATCAAATGCACTTGATGTGGCAAGCATGAGGAGAGATCCTACCAATATTGTCTCCAAACTGTTGCAAACAAACCACTTATGGAAATATGATTTAAAGCTACTAGAAGACAAATGTAGAGCTCACTGGAGAACCTTCAGGAGCAGATAAAAACATCTGTCTGGCAGATTGAGGGATGTACTGATGTACTTCTGCAGGAATCTGCCAGGAGTCCAGTGCTACAGGTTGTTTTTCAGTAATGACAGGTGATGGAAATAACAATACATTTGTTAAAGCCATAGACCATAAACAGATTGGAGAAGGCTTCAAGTGCCTCAAAATACTAGTTTAGAATGCAAAGATCACAATGACTTGTAAAAGTGTTTCTAGAAAACAAGGATGCAGATCAATATGGGAAACAGGAAAAAAGAAACCAAGCATCACAAAGAGAATACATGGAAATAAATGGATAAGTTTTAAAGCTGCTCATACACCTTATACTAGTCAATATTTTTGTGTTGCTACTGAGAAAAAAACCCCAAAACAACTGGAAACTATAGGTAGGACCATCGTACATAAGACAGACAAGATATAATCCTTCCACTCCGGACTGATGTGATTATTTCTTCTTCAGCCTATAATCCTGACAGCCCCATTTCCTCTGTTACAGGAATCTGGTCTGTCTGCATGGTTAGGTACCAAACTGACTCCTCTGCAGCAAATCCCTCACCCTGCCATTGCTTTCCTGTTGTGTCTCCTGATTGCCACTTTCACTGAGTGCACCAGCAACGTGGCCACCACCACCCTCTTCCTCCCTATTCTGGCTTCAATGGTAAGTTCTAGCATTTCAAAACACTCTTCTAAGAACAGTTTTCAACTCTTCTCCAAACATATATCTGCTCAGTTATTAAAACTAACTGGCTGACATAGCCAAGCACTGGTTCATGTATCCAGTCAGGAATACAAGACTTACAATACATATAAATGTATGTGCATATATGTGTATATTCACACACACTGTGCTTAGTTCAACCTTTCTAGAATCATTGCTGGTGAAAAGTAAAGGGATTAATTTCATTGACATATTAGACTTTGCCTTCTGGCCTAAACAACCCCATGAGGTCACTGCCAGCTGTACTTGTTTTTTCCAATTTGTTCTGCATGGAGACAGCAGCAGCAGCTTTTGCTTCCCTGCAACATTCCATTACTGTATTTCACTCCGACCACTAGCCTTCCAGAAGGCTCTGAAGGTGATAGCATGACCTAATTCAGACTTTTGCATTTCCACAGGAGATTCCTGTTGCTGGGGTAGACATAGTTCTGCAGCATGAAAAGATGGTTCCAGACAGAAACTGGAATAAGCTACTCCAAAATCTTTTTGCAGAGGCTACACACTTCAGTGAACCCCCAAACTAATCCACTCACCTCCAGAGTTTGGGCTCTGCTGTCTCCTCAGATAACTTAATTTTGTTCTTAACCAGTTTGAACCCACTCTACATTTTCTCCTGTGTTTAGAGTTGAATACAATCATTATTATCCATTTATAATGCAACATCAGGAGCACAAGGCACTGACCACAAAATCAATTCTTGCATTTGCTGCATAAAGACTTTGGCTAGAAGTGTCTAAAGCAGCACCAAAATATGAGTGGCTGCAGTATTTGTGGAAGAATGAGGTATCTGATATGGACAAATACAACCAACCAAAAGATTTCTATGCACTTTTGTGTATCAAAACCATCATCTTTGCTCTCCCTTCCTGCACAGGCTGAAGCAATCTGCCTCAACCCACTCTATGTCATGCTGCCCTGTACACTTTCTGCATCACTGGCATTCATGCTCCCAGTGGCCACTCCTCCCAATGCCATTGTCTTCTCATATGGACAGCTCAGAGTTATTGATATGGTGAGAAAAAACATTCTTTTCAGAATTTTCATTGTTGGTCTTTCCTTTTTCTAATGTTGGTTCTTCTTGGAAGAGTGTTAAAAAACTCCCTGTGCTCAGCTTACACCAAATGGAAAGAACACACATGTGCACTAAAAAGGGTCACACTGACTCTAATACACACTCAGAGGCTTATCAAGGTGCTACTGAGCTCTAAGAACAGCCAAGGCCTCTTGAAGGTGTTCCAAAAAAACCTTGTGATCAATGAGAAATGTCTAATTGTTTGAAAAGCTCCAATGTAGAGCATAGAAGTGTCAAAGAGTCTTGTCATGTGGACACTCCTTCTGCAGGGATAGGGGACAGCCTGGCACATCTCACTGGGCTGACCTGATGCCCTGAGAAGCCACTGTGTTAAAGAAAGGACAGCAATGGCCATGTCTCTTGAAAACTTTTCTAACTTATAAGCAATCCAAGACGAAATCCAAAGTAACATTACAGGAAAATACCAAGTCAGAAAGGAAAGTCCCACATAAGTGGATTAAAAGAATTTCAGGACTTCTAGTTTAAGAGTTTTATCCAATGGAAGCTCATTTCCCCCCTAATACAAATGATATTTATGAAGAAAACCAGCCTAAATGTAATTTGATGGAGTTCTGATGGAGTTGTGAAAAAAAGGCCAAAGAGAAAATCTATCCATACAAACAACCCTAATCAGCACAGAAGGAAACAAAGTGCTCAGTTCAACTAACAACCCTTCTCTTTTATAATTCCAGGCCAAAGCTGGAATTGTGCTCAACATCCTGGGAGTCCTGACAATAACTCTTGCCATCAACACTTGGGCTTCATCTTTGTTCCAACTGCAAACTTTCCCATCTTGGGCAAACGGGACATGCCCATAACATGGAGAGGCAAAGGAACCAATGACTGTTTCTGTTTGAGCTGCAATGAGAGCAGGACTATCATCCACGTGAATTTTGCCAAGGAAGTGGGTAAGGGACAGGCCTGTTCATGGAAAAGGACAAGCCACCTACAAGCAAAATCATTCCGTTGATAAGAGCAATAAAATTGCCTAACTGTGCTGTCTAGCAGGCAATTTGGTCATCCCAGCAGTAAGATGAGGTAACCTTTGGCTTTTCAGCTGTCCCAGGGACCTTTAGATTTCCTGTCTCTACAGGGGTGTTTTCCCCAAGTGCTTTTCCACTCCACCTGTGAAGTCTGAAATCTGCAGCAAGGATGAAGAGAGCAGTGTGTGTGTGTATAAAAGGAAGGAGAGAGACTCTGAATTCCTGAGTCCATGCACAGATCTGTGTCTTGTCACAACTAACATGACCATTCACCTGTACATGTGTATATGTTCAAACTGTACATGATTGTTATATACTCTGTGGGCACTGACAGGAGGTGTGTGGCTATAGGTAAATCACATCCTATCAGCCTGTTCTATTGCTTTGGAATGTATTTATTTGCAATCCCTTTGCTATGACCATAAAATACTATTTTTTCCCCAAAAACATCTGCCCTATTGTTATTTATGTAAGATTACAGCCTGCAAGGTCATGGTAAAAGACCAGAAATGTTCTCTAGAGGAGAGATTCTATGTATCATAAAATATATATGATTGAATTAAAGATTTTTTTAATGTACTCCCATGTTCTGGAGGTTTTTTTATTCTACATCACTGTTTCTCTCTTCCAGGTATCAGCTGCTTGTCTGTTTGCTTACTTAAAACATCTTTAAATAATCAGAGAAATCAGCATAATTGATTTTCTCTTATCTTTAAAGTAGTAATTACTTTATTATTATTATGACTCTGATTTTCTTGGAATGTTAAACCCAAGATTTTTCCTTTTAAAAAGCCTGGAATGCTGTTAAATATTTAATCCCTATTCTGCTGGAACTGACTTCCAGGAGCACATAAACTCCTAATGAGCAAACTGACAAAGCCAATGGAACATCCAAAGACACTTTGCCAAAACAATCTTTCTACCATAACTGAGGTTAGGCTCAGACAGAGCAGTTATTAAACCTGTGGCTCTGAAGTTGGCACTGAAATCTTTGCTCTGGCATTGCTTGTCTAAACTTTGCACAAAATGTGTTGCATTGTTGAAATCTCACTCTGGTGGGATTCCCATATAGGTACAAAGGGAGTGAACATCAGGGATTTTCACACTAAAATCATATGTGTTCTTCAAAATCTTTCTTCTTTCTTTCTCTATCCCAATTCCTAGGAGACCAGGACAGCATCCAGGGCACATTTGACTTATAAAATGTCAGAATTCACTGACCTGCAGCAGTTTCTTTCCAGTTCCAAGTGTGCAGGCAATTCTGATCTCTGCTGGGCACTGATCCCTCTGCACTGATGGTTTCACTGGCCTGAGCAGCACATTTGCTCTAGGAAGTCACTGTCTGGAAAAGAACAGTCTGGTGTTTGTTAACCCTTCAGTGGCTTTGACAGAGAATGTTTTGATTTGATGTGTGATAGGGATCCAACAGAATATCCACAGCACAAGAAGTACAGGCATTTATTCTCTGTAGCTAATGAGCTCCTGGGTAATTGATTTCAATCACATAATGACTTGTTCAGGTCACTTCTAAACCACTCACCTTTCTCTCTACATTTACCTCTATCAAATAACATCCAAATCTGCCTAAATATTTTCACTCCCCTGCTCACCCTGTATCTGAGGACCTAAAACTGCCCAACTGCAGCAGATGATCTGCTGAGAGCCTCTCCCTGTTTCTCTTTGTCTCCAGCACCAGGGCAGTGTGTGCAGCTTTTGTTTGCTTTTTGTTTTCTTTGAAATACTTGCACAGAGTTTACATGTCCTTCTAAATTACTGCTTAGCTAAGCAGGAAAGGTTGAATCCTTATAACATTTCCCATCAGCCTCTCCTTCTAGCCCTTTCAAACTGTGTTATGGTTCTTTGAAGTCTTTTTCTATTAGTCTACATTATTCAGAGGCTGTGGTGTGTGTAAGTACCTGCAGGAGCACAGGTGCAATCTTTATGCCAATCTCAAGAAGAAAGAAGAGACACATCAAGTAGCACAGAGTGTCATGGGGCCAATGCATTAATGCTGGGTGTTTCTTGGTCATTAGCATGGATGAGTACATAAAGTTTAGAGCCTCACAGGAGAATAAATGCAGTGAAAGTTACTCAAGAGGTGTACAAATGCTCAACTTGCAGAAAAATACGGCTGAAAAGCTGGAGGAAGAGGAGAGGAATTAACACTAACACCAGGACGTGAAGAGAACTGAAAATTTCATTACTAGTTTCCACCTTGAAGTGATGGTGGCACTGGGCAGTTTATTGCCTTGGGTGTGTCTGAGCTCAGGACCAGTTGAGGTACAGTTAAATACAGTGTGCTTGTGCAAAAACCAGTAACACTATTAAAAATTTTCATAATTTTCTAAGCAAAGCAGGTAGAAAGTGTTTCTAAGCCCCATTATTACCCAGATCACTCCTGAAGGGTGGTTCCCCATTATGTTTCCAGATATTGCCCTCAAGGAGTGGCTCTATTTCCCATTGTGTGATCAAATTTCACAATCTGCTGTGAAACTGCCAGCTCAGCACCTGCTGTACTTAGGTGTGATTTCCAATGCAGCTCCTCGTTTCGCAGTTGACACTGAGTTTGTTTTACATAAGAGCTCTAAGTGATAAATTTGGTAATGAGAAAGGGGACGTTTGCCTTTTTTTGCCTGCCTGGTCTAAAAAGCAAGTGCTTTACAAAACCACAAAATACAGGTTTCCCACAGTATATGCCAGTGAGTAAGTGGGTGACTCTCAGTCACCTCTTCCATTCTCCCTGGAGTTATGGTGCTGTCTTGCCTTGCCTTGCCCAGAAACACACACAGACACACACACACACACAAATTCTACAGGCACATACATGTACACCCCAGAGAATAACACCCCAGAGAATATGAAAGCCATACCCTGCTAAACATACACATTTCTATGACCAAACCATAAAAGCAGATGAATTTGAAGCAGGGTAATGAAAATAGCTTCCATTTGAGAAAGGCACTTGGTCATAAACACCTCAACAGCAATTTGTTAAGTGGCATGTAAGTGATGCAAGGGTCACTGAAATCATAAACAGCCTTAACAGCACACATGACAAGTTGAAAGGCAAACCAGGATAAAGTCAGCATGTCTTTCTAATCCTCAAATTGGTTTGGAGAAACCAAAAATTTGCTCCCAGTCACTCAAAAGGTATTAAAATGAACTATAAGGAAGTCTTGTTGGAGACAACTGAAACCTTGAAATATGTCCACATCTTACAATTTCATTCCTGGGCTGTCATTAAAAATAAATTTAAAAAAAAGGTTGAAAGATACCTTATCCCAAAATGGACACAAAATAATTCTCAGAAAGATGAAAATAATTTTCAGAAATTATAGGATCATAGAATGTTAAGGGGTTGGAATGGACCTTAGAGATCATCTAGTCCCAACCCCTGCCCTGGGCAGGGACACCTCCCACCAGAGCAGGTTGCTCAAGGCTTTATCCAACCTGGCCTTGAACACTGCCAGGGTTGGGGCATCCACAACCTTCCTGGGCAACCTGTGCCAGTGTCTCACCACCCTCACAGCATCCAAATACAAACCCAAGGAAGGTGAAGGTCCTGTGTTTCATCCAACAGTCAGCAGCATGTACACAACTATGGACCTTTCTCCAGGAGCTGTAAGAGCAGTTCCACTTGTACCCTTGAAGGAAATTCATCCCTCAGATAACTATGGCATGTTGTTGTGCATCTTGGTGCCAAGTTTCAACTCTCTCCATTTGGCTTTTCTGTTCTAGGAACACAACTCTTTGCTCTCAATGAATACATTGGGTTTAGTGTTTGCAAAGGCAGAAACAGAGTTTAAACTTTCTGCAATAATGAATAAGCAAAGAACTGAAAACAGAAACACTTAGGACTTAAGAAATACATAGCTTGAAATCATCAAGGCATTTCACAACCCCCAATTTTTTTTTCCAACATGGCACCTATAAAACTATTTACAACTTGATTCACTGAACTTTATGGTTTGAATTAGTAATGACCAAGGTGCCAAAGTCTGGAAATGAAGTGGTTTGAGTGTACTAATCACCTGGTGTCCAAACTAACAACTGTTTAATAGAACTTAATCACCACTGTCAATGTTGAGCATTTTCTCCTATTAAGGAAACATTTAAGATTATTTATCCTTTAATCATACTAACAGACCGAAACTGTCCAGTTGCATCGAGGAGGTGCAGGTTCCCTCTCCACGTGCCATCCAGTGGCTGCAGACACTGCACTGGGGCATGCCCAGGGTCCCCAGACCAGGCCAAGCACCTGGTCTGGTGTTGACCTTCCTTGGAAAATTCCCTTAAATAGCTAAGAAGGAAGGAATGGAGCAAGGAAACACTTTCAAAGTGCAGCACAGCTGAAAGAACTCAAAATATGCTAAAGTTGTCAAAAATGGGGGGGAAAACCCAAGGTGCAAACTAACTTGAAAATAGAGAGGGAATAGAATGATTCATTCAAAGGTTCAACCCTTATTCAAGGTTTCAACCTTTACAGATTGTAATGAATGATTTAGATTGGAGCAGATGCAAATGCTTCAAGGCTCAGACCTTGTAATCCTGTGCGAGGCATCTATGATACAGCATTAATCACAACTACTTTTAGTTGGCATTGCATTTGAATTATTAACTGTAAGCAACTAAACCATCAAAAATTTACTCTGCTTCAGGTTTACATCATTCAGCCAACTTCAGGTTAGCATTAAGGCTTCTCCTGCCAACCTAGCAGCATTACAAGACTTCCCTCACTTCCCTTGATCCCTGCCCAGTCCCTGAGAAGCAGAGCAATTTCAAGTTTTCCCAATAACTGCTGCTGGGACCTAGAGCTTTCCATTCCTTGGAAGGGA